ACACACACACACATATATATATATATATATATATATATATATATATATATATGTGTGTGTGTGTGTGTGTGTGTGTAAGCATATATATTTAAGAAGCTTCAAATTGATAAATACACGAGCAGGTATAAAATGATTCGTTAAGATACATGATTCTTCTTTTTCTTTTCTCATATATAGTCTTGTGTCCACATGTCTATACAATTTACCGTCGTGTAGACGAGTATTTTTCAGTAGACGGCAATATCTGGGGTGTAGAGTATCTGTCTGTCGCACTGTTTTCTATATATTGTGTCTGCCACGAACTTGATACTTTATGCCTATGCTACACAGGGGTGCATCTTTAGCAGCACCCAACAATAGGAATGACGCGCATGGAAATAAGACCCCGCAGCTAACCGGATGGTTGCATGTCAGTACAGCCTTTAAATGGATGCGCCGCTACTTTGTACTCAAGGATGATGTTATAGAGTATGTAAATATGTGCGTAGTATATATCCGCAGTGTGAGACTACCCCAAATCACTGTACGCCTTGACTTGCGCCAGAAAGCATGGCATGGGTCTAATTTATGGGAAAACTTCGATGCGACGTGTGTTTGCACCTGTCGTGTCTGTAGTTGTGGAATATGTCAGTCCGTGTGTATTTGCCCCGTAACCCCCCAACACGACAATGTATACTATCGATTGGTGCCTGTTACTTTGTGCTTTCATGCGTTATAATTGTGTTGTGAGGCGCTTGGTATGACACAAAACGCAGGACACGCTTCAAAATACGCAAGACACTAATCACCATATGCTTACTGACTACCACATATCAAACCACTTGCGTCAATACACGATCCATGTACGGCTGCATGCGACATGCCACTTTAGCATACGACATGCCACATTGTAATACGACATGCCACTTTAGCATACGACATGCCACATTGTAATACGACATGCCACTTTAACATACGACATGCCACATTGTAATACGACATGTCGCATTTTAATGCGTCAAGCAGCAGACTTCACGACACGTGACACGGTTCTGCTTGTGTGACATGTGTGCGGCGCCCTACCTAACTGAATGCCTCTCAGAGACTTTGCCCATGCGCGTGCACACGTGTGTCTCATTTGCTGCCACCGCATCTGCCCCGTGACAGGTACTACGGTGCTGAGCAAATCAAGCCAGCCATGAATGAGGTCAAGTCCATCCGCACAGACACCGCCACTACGGAAAACCCTATCCAAGACGGTATGGCTGGTCATGCCCCAAACCCAATCTCGTTTTGTTCCCGTTTTCTACCTGTTACTTGTGGTGCTGCTGCAGTGTAATTGGCGTGCTTTGTGTTCTCACGATCCACTCTGGGCGGTCATTGTGTAGAGTAGTCCGTGAAGTTCTTATACCAGCATCACCCACATCTTCTATCGCAGCCTTCTACATCTAAATGTCACGGCACTACCATTTTGTGTGTGGCCTATCGGAATTGCCGTTCACATCTGTTGCTCTTGCTTCCGCTCCAATGTCAATTTCTCGATGCCACGTCTTATAACCTAGTCATGCTTGTATTTCTTTGCTCACTTCCATATCCAATCCTGCACCTATACATCGCCTTCATTCTTTCATTGACACATGCCCTGTGCTAGTTCCACATGCCCTGTGTTATTTCTACATGCCTTGTGTTAATTCCGCATGCCTTGTGTTAATTCCACATGCCTTGTGTTAATTCCACATGCCTTGTGTTAATTCCGCATGCCTTGTGTAAATTCCACATGCCTTGTGTTAATTCCGCATGCCTTGTGTAAATTCCACATGCCTTGTGTTAATTCCACATGCCCTGTGTTAATTGCACATGCCTTGTGTTAATTCCACATGCCCTGTGTAAATTCCACATGCCTTGTGTTAATTCCACATGCCTTGTGTTAATTCCGCATGCCTTGTGTAAATTCCTCATGCCTAGTGTTAATTCCACATGCCCTGTGTTAATTCCACATGCCTTGTGTTAATTCCACATGCCCTGTGTTAATTCCACATGCCTTGTGTTAATTCCACATGCCCTGTGATATTTCCACATGCCCTGTGATATTTCCACATGCCCTGTGATATTTCCACATGCCTTGTGTTAATTCCACATGCCCTGTGTTATTTCCACATGCCTTGTGTTAATTCCACATGCCCTGTGATATTTCCACATGCCTTGTGTTAATTCCACATGCCTTGTGTTAATTCCACATGCTTGTGTTATTCCACATGCCTTGTGTAATTCCACATGCCTTGTGTTAATTCCACATGCCCTGTGTTAATTCCACATGCCTTGTGTTCATTCCACATGCCCTGTGTTAATTCCACATGCCCTGTATTAATTCCGCATTGTTCTCCCACACAGGAGCTAAGCCCAGACAGCGCTTGGAACTGTCGAAGAGCATGACTATCAGTGACGTGGACGAGACCCGTGCGTCGCTGAAGAGTGGTTTCAAGTTCAAAAGTCAAACGTTGTACACTTTCGATCTGACATACAAGCGAAAGCGCAGCAGGAGGGACGTAGTCAAGTACGTGTGCGTGTGCGTGTACGTGTACGTGTGTGTGTGCGTGCGTGTGTGTGTGTTTGTGCAGTTAGTGAGTGAAGGTAGATATTATGTTGCATTCCGAACTGCCAACTTAGGCTGGAATGGGAGCGTTGTTAGTTATTATACACGACTGCGATACACCTGATAGAGGCAATCGTAACCCATACGTATAACCTGTGGTCACCTATGCTCGCTACATCATGTCTGTCGTACCATTGTGCACTCGCTGTGGCGCGTGTTGGTGTTTGTGTGCTAGCCTTATTCCATGCATTGCACTGTTCGCACTACACAATACCATCCGTCTCTCTGCTCCGTGGGTGGCTTTGCCTCGTGCCTATCACTCAGCCCCTGCAATGCACCTCTCTCCCCTGTGTGCGTCCTTGCGTCTGTCCATTATACTTCTTGCGTGTGCGTGTGGCCAGTGTGTGTGTGTTGATGTCCATTGTACTTCTTGCGCGAGTGAGTGTGTGTTGATACCCCTTGCCTCTCGTCACTGATAGGACTGAGCATGTACACATGGCGGCTGACTCCATGGCCGTGGCACAGCAGTGGGTCAATGCCATTCAGGAAGCCATTGACCGCCACGCCCTGTCGGAATCGAATGTATGTGCACACGCCTCTCTCGTGTGTCCTGTGTCTGTTGTTCATGTGCGATGGTCCGACCAAGCTCTTTCCTTCGCGTCTCCTGGGCCCATATGTGTCAGTGTTGTGTGATGTGCTTATCTGCCATTGGTGCACCGCATGTATCTGCCGTAGTATTGTCAACTGTGGTCGTGTTTGCACGGTTGTACGGGTATAGCTATGTGCAGCTGTGGTTGGCTATTTGTGCCCAGCTAGTTTACTCATGCGTTTGTCGTGCGCGTAGTGCAGGATCATTGTTCAGGTCACCCCCATGGTATAGCTGGTGTGCTTATGCATAGATGTTGCTTACCCATATTCAATGAGCAGACCACTTGGACACACTACTTGTTTTCCAAACAACTGTCATCATACCACACCCATCCACTGGGCCATCCTTTGCGTATGAGCTATCACTACATCTTCTCATACGCCACAGTCTGAGTTCAGTATCATTACATCTTCTCATACACCACAGTCTGAGTTCAGTATCATTACATCTTCTCATCACACCACACCAATGCTCTGTGCACTCATGCAGGAGACCTTGATAGAGGACGACGTACAGTCCGTCGACTTCCCCGAGACAGGCGAGAACGGCGTAGAAGCGCCTCCCGAACCCAGTCTGGCTGTGCTCAATAGCAACCAGCGCAAGAAGGTACGCAATGTCCCCCAACGTGGGGTAGTTTATAACTTATAATCAACTGGGTTGAGAGATCTCTTCAGTTTAAGTGGGGTTGTTTTTAACACATAACTGTCCCCCCCACCTTAGGTGGTGTTGTTTATAACTTAAAAATAACTGGGTTGAGAGATCTCTTGAGTTGAAGCGGGGTTGTTTATAACCAGTACCTGCCCCTCAACCCCCACACGTGGGGTTGTTTATAACTTATAATTATTTGGGTTGAGAGTTCTCTTGAGTTGCCTGCACTGTCTATTGTGGGGTGTCTATTGTGGGGTTTTATGCTAAACTTTCCAATACGACTATTGAGTATTGGCGTATAGAGCCACTATGCTGCACAAAAGCTAGCGCACGCACGTGTAGATGTGGTTTTCACGCACATGTACATGTGGTTTTTTATGTATGCCCGTGGTATAGTTAGTGAATGTACATATCTTTGACAATTGAGTGAGTGTTTGTATGGCCTGAATGCATACTATCCATACACACGTATCAGCAGATTACCTGATGACAACAACTCCTTACACATTTGCACATAAATATCATCCGAGTGCACTTGTGGCTCACCATGTGCCGCGCACAGTCTTTCCTCAGTTGCACAGCCTGCCATGACCACAGGCACAGACACCGTCGCTCCCATCGCACACACAACCACTCACACAAGTGCTCTCACCTACACAACAACCACTCACACAAGTGTTCTCACATACACAACAACCTACACACTCTTGTATTCACATCCGCATACTCCTACGTACTAGCACTCTGTATTTGCATACGTAGGCCACCGGAGGGATTCAACAGTCCAAGATGCGCGTTGCCTTTCATGCGGGCAAGAAACTACCTGTGCTTGAAGAGCTGGAGAACCCAGGCACATACATGGCTCGGCTGATCATGCGCGCCCATCCACAGGCGGTGTTTGAGGAGTTGCTCCTGTGGTCTGTATTCAATGAGGTGGACGACTACAGTGTCGTCAATATGGTACGTGTTGCTGGTAGTAGTTATGATATGCTTACAGTGCGTGGTAGCAGTTATGATATGTTGCTGGTAGTAGTTATGATATGCTTTACACTCTGTGGTAGTTATGGTACTCGTTACTGTGTGGTAGTAGTTATGGTATGTGTTTTCAACAAATCATCACTCGGCTCATCCACTCCACACGTTCGTTTGCTGGTATGACAGTACAAACCCTTCGCATTAGTTTAACATGCCGCGTCCTTTCCGATCCACCCGACAACGTTAGTCAATCATATCTGCGCTCGTGCACCCACACCCACACACACACACACACACACACGTATGCATCACGCTACAACACACTCACCTGACGCCCCACACTGATGGCACGCACAGGTCAAAGAAGTACACATCCTCGACAACACAGAGAACAACCGTGACGTAGTGCACATTCTGTTTAGTTCGACGAAGCTCATGTCACCGCGCGAGTTGGTCATTGAGCGGTTGTGGCGGTTGGAAGACAACGGCACATACGTCATGACCTTTAATAGCGTGGAGCATGGGGCTGTGCCCATTCAGACCCCCGCGTATGTGTGTGGCGTGAGAGTATGGTGTCGTGTGTTTGAGAGAGATATGATGTGGTGTGTGTGTGATGGCCAAGCGTGTTTGCGTGTGAGACTGGGCGTGTGTGTGTATGTGTGTACCATGTGCCGAGTGCATGGGATCAATGTGCACAAACGCGGGTGAGAGGTTTGAACGCGTAAGGCTTGTAGAAGGTTGTGCGTGAAGAATGGGATGCGTTACGTTACTCGTATAAGTCGCGGCTGTGGAGCTGTGGCTCAGTGTGTCTATAAAACGCCATTAGTAAACTAGTATATGCCTCGCGAGTGTTCCTAGTCGCACATATGTGTGTGGTGTGTGTAAGGACTTACGTGCGGTAACATTCATTGATACATTGCCGAAAGGCGCGCTTACCTTGTCTTTAGTTCGCTTACGCCCTTCACCAACTGTCATGTATATATATATATATATATCAGCATAATGTGTCTGGTGTGTGTGGTGTCTTCCCTGTCTATGCTTACTGATACCCTTCTATCCGTTGCGCAGATGGATGGACTGGACCACGCCAATCCGCATGCAGGCGCAGGGCGGTTGGACTATCGCCCCTTTGTTGGAGAGTGGATCTCCCGCCAATGAGATCCAGGAGTCTATGGTTACTCTGGTATGTGCACTGTCTGGTGTTGCGTCGTTCTCTGAGGCACTTGGGGGTATACACCCGCAGTACAGCTCTTAACAACGGTGTCTGCGGAGCTGCAAGCAAACACGTGCATGTCTGGGTTCTTTGTGGAATAAACCCCCCTCGTTCAGATTCCAAACCGCTGCCTTGCATTATCCCATTTGTCTTTTTATGTATCTTCAGTGTATGGGCTGTTGCGTGTTTATATATGTACGGAACATCGTTGTCCACGATCGTGTGAGTTTACCTGCTGACCCTCTCACGGTGACGGTTCAGGGGTTTGTTGTGTGCCGCTCTGTGTTTTACTGAACAACGCAATCCGTTTCTGTGACTTATTCAGTCACTACCAAGAAACTGAGCATGTCGGACCACACTGCCGGTTGGCACAGATCACCCTACGGAATACTTAGGCTCGCCTAGTACTCACATACAGTAGCCTGACACATGACACACCCCATGGCTCTCTCACTCTCTGCACAGGCGTGTCGCTCTGAGCTGTCCGGCACAGCGCAGTCGGTCAGTGACTACGCGAGTGCCATCTACAGCATCAACGACAAACTAGTCTATCCACTCTTCTCCAACCTGTTGACCATCAAGCGCTCGGTGCAGTTCTCGCGCTTTGTGGGCGGCACTGTGGGAGTCATGGATCGCCTGGCCAATCAGCAGGCGGAGAGGCGTGCGGAGGAACATGGCAAGAGGTGTGTTAGGCTGTTGCATCACGGGTTCGGTGTACAGTTGTACTTGGCATGTGATAGGTTTAGGGTTTTAGGGGTTTATTTGATTGACACACGTGATAGGTTTTAGAGTTTTATTCGATTGACACACGTGATAGATTTAGGGTTTGGAGTTTTATTCGATTGACACACATTATGGAATGGATAAAAACATACGACGCACCAAAAACTGCACCCGAGTGTAAGACAATGGGCTTGTGCGCGGACTGACAGATTAATGTCTACTGTCGTAACCGATATGCTGTGGGCACCGTGACACCGTTGGCCACTAGGGCGAGAATCAGTGCTCACATGTGTGACGTTGCACACCTGATTTCGCCCTACGCCAAAGTCTGCATTTAACACCACAGCGTTTGATTGCTGTGTCTATCCCCTTATATGTACATGGACATATCACAAGAGCACTACCCATACCGGATGCCTGTTACTCTGAACATGTACACACCTCGCACTACAAACCCTCACCCACCCACCCACCCGCACAAACATCTTTCTTGACCCCCAACTTATGTCTACCATAACTCCATCTCCACAGAGCCCTGCAGATGGGAACCTCACTTAAGGTGATCATGGCTGTGGCCAAGTTCAAAAAGGCCCTTAATAAGACCGGTCAGAAGCGCGTGGCGGCAGTGGTCATCCCCTCCAACGTCCCCCGCAGCATGTGGTATGACCCAGGGGCAGTTACCTTCCAGGTGCGAGGCCAAGATTACTTCAACGACGGCGTCAAGCAGCAGACCCAGAGCCCTGTCTTTCAGGTGTGTGGTTATGGATGTGTATGTTTGGGTGGAAATGGTTATGGAAGTGTATGTTTGGGTGGATGTGGTTATGGATATGTATGTGTGGGTGGATAAGGTTATGGATGTGTATGTATGGGTGGATATATGTTTATGGATGTTTATGTGTGGGTGGATATGGTTATGGATGTGTATGTTTGGGTTGATATGGTCATATATGTGCATGTGTGGGTGTCCTTGATGTGTCTGTGTATGCTGATTGTTGAAGGACTTGTTTGTTTCCACAGTCGTCTCTGTGTATCGAAGTAGGATGTGTATGCGTATGTGCATGCATACAATACGTGTGTGTGGCAACTTCGGTGTATCTTCCGTCCTCATCTCTGCACAAACCTGATCCCTATCATTCTATCATCCCGTGTACCTGGTCTTATCAGCTGGTGGCTCTGGATCTGTTCAAGTGCAAAGACGTCATCAACGAGCACCTAGCTGGCGACCCCGGCCATATTCTGCAAACTGAAGAGGCGCAGAACGGGCCGTTCACTGTGGTCTTCAATCTGATGATTCCCGCCAGTCCCAACCTTAACGTGGTCCTCTACTACCGCTGCAGGTACTGTCTAGCTCCTGCGTGTATATAGCATATACTTAAACATCATATACATATATTTGCTTAAACATCATACACATATATTTACATAAACAGCATATACATATATATACATAAACAGCAAATACATATATTTACATAAACATCATATACATATATACATAAACATCACATACATATATATACATAGACATCATATACATATATATACATAAACATCATATACATATATATACATAAACATCAGATATATTTATACATACATATACTTGAACATCATACTCAATCGCCGTGGAAATAGGCACCTGTTCTTCAAACAGTACAAGTTGCGTATCCGATACAAAGTGAAGAATGTCGCCCGGGTATGATTGGATTTCTCGCATTGCGTGACACCATATATCTTCACACCTAAAGCAACCTCTTGTGTAGTGTATTTCTCACCTCCCTCTCCGCTCCATCCACAATTCCGTAGCTTGGCTTGGCTTGGCTTTTCCTCACATCATTCCCTTCACTCTAACTTCCGGCGCTTATAACAGACTCTTCCGATTGCTGTTATGTGCTGAGTGTCTGTCTGTCTGTCTGTCTGTTGAGTTAAATATTCTTACCCGCTGTCGTTCCCACCACAACACCCACCCCAGTGACTTCAAGGCACTCGAAGGTACAGATCCCTTTGCCCTGTGCTGGAAGCAGTTTATCGAGGGAGACCCCAACGAACGAAACTCGCGGTTCAAAATGATTCCCAAGATAGTCGAGGGCAGTTGGCTCATCAAACAGGCCGTCGGCACCACCCCTGTGATCATGGGCAAGAAACTGCGCACAGCCTACTACGTGGGTATGTGTCCATGGGCAATATATTCGCATAGCCTACTACTTGGGTATGTGTCTGTCCTTGTTGATTGTGTCCTGCACCCGTAATCATGGGCAATATATTCGCATAGCCTACTACGTGGGTGGGTGTCTGTCCTTGTTGATTATATACTGCACCCGTAATCATGGGCAATATATTCGCATAGCCTACTACGTGGGTGTGGGTGTCTCTGCCCTTGTTGATTTTGTTAAAGCAAAAGTGTATGAATGCTGTATCAACACCGAGATATGGTCTGGACCAGTTTGCGTAAAGATTACAACGTGTCCGTTTCACGCGTTTTGCACAACTGACCTAGCAATCCCCTTTGGTTTGACTATACTATTTACAGGAAAGAACTACTTGGAGATTGACATTGACATCAGCAACTCTAAGGTGGCCCAGAAGGTCACCGGCATGTGTCTACCAGCCACCAAGTCACTCACCATTGATATGGCCTTCCTACTGGAGAGTCACAAACATGTACGTGTAAATGTTCTTAGGTCTCTTGTGTATAGCCTTTCGCTCGCACATATATTGCACTCGCATATGTCAATAGAAAGGCTATGGGTTGGCTGTGGGTGTGGTGTTTAGTGAATATGTACTGCGCACGCGTGCGGTGTGCGAGTTACGATGTGTCTTCTTGTTTTGTGGGAGAGTCACAAACAGGCACCTGCGATTGTCTCGCAGATGTATGGCATTTGCATTCAAAAGTAGTTGTATCGATTGGGAGTGGGCGTTTATATCGACCTGTTCCCAGTTGACTATTTAGGCGTACATTGTGTACGCTCTGTATACTGAATTGCGATGATGTACCTTAATTGTCTCAACGAGAGGGTCAATCAGAATGTGTTCCAGTATGGGCATTACAACTACGTGTGCGTGCAATATCTGCCAACTGTATGTATGCCACTGGCTCTGTCGTATGTGCCGTCTCGACTATCCGTCTCCTCTGTTACGTGTGCTTTCCATCCCTTCCCCTGTTACATGTATTGTCCATTCCTCTCCTGTTACATCTGCCGTGTATTCACTCGCATATCTTTCACACGTGTGTGTGTGTGTTTTTGTGTGTGTCGTGTGCACAGGAGGAGTTGCCCGAGCGTCTGCTGGGCACTGTGCGACTAAAGAAGATCGACCTCTCCAGTGCACAGCCGCTGCCACGCGATCTGGAGAAGAAGACCATGTAATCGCACACTAGGTCAATCACAACCCACACGACAGTCCTATCGTTTTCGCACGAAAGTCCTATTGGGCTCACACGAAAGTCGTATTCTCACACGAAAGCCCTTTTGACCTCATACGAGAGTAGTATTGGGCTCACACGCAGGTCGTACTGGTCACAACACGACATACAGTCAGTCAGACAAGACTCGAACCCATGAACCTGTAGACATAGTCAATCCCGCAATCCATGCGTTGCTTCAACACTACAACACTCGCTGTGCACTGTGTGTGCGCCATTAAAATAAACGTTAAAATCACTCGCTACCGGGCAAGGAACAACCCGTACGCGACACGTGTTAGCTATACCTCGTCACGGCCACCCCTATTTGTACACATCTTACGGATGCGTTGGATGATCATTCGCAATATCGTGGCGAATTGTTGAATAAAGTACAAATGTAACCACTAAATGGTGTTACGTATATTGTGGGGCACTATCGTAGATAGTAATGGTCCAAGTAAATCCATTGGTTGTTGTATATTATTATAAAGCAACGCCTGTTTGGGGGATGTTTGAGTAAAAAGTGATTGGTTGCAAACTTTTAACTGCTACGATGTAACATGAGAGTGCATCAGTAGCAAGAAAATTCGTCCAGAAAGAGAATGCTTTTGAAGAAGCTGGGGCCGAGAACAAGATTCATATCTAATTAGTCGGAAGTCAACATCGAACATAACTTAGCAAGCAATTTGAAGTAAGCACAAATTACTAAGGTTGTGCAAGCGGATAGCATTGCGAGGATGGAGTTGTGCTAGATTCAGCTGAAGCGCATTGTCAGCGGAGATACAGCCCAGTCGCAAGCATAGGCTAGACATAGCCTTCCTATACAGCGAAGAATAGTAATGACACATCACGATGACACGGCACAGTGACAAGTCTCTGTTCACGATTTAAGAGCGTATTGGCTGTCGCGTTAGCCCATCTGAATTATTGAGCGACAAAGTGTATGTAGGGTATATGTATAACCCCAATTTTCTCATATTTTGGCCTTTGTGAGTATATAATTGTAGTACAACCTTCAATTTTTGTATATATGAGTTTCTAATTGTTGGTGTTAAACTCCCAACTTTCTTGTATTTTGGCATTGCGAGTAAAAACCTAAAAATAGGCGGGTTATTTTCCAATATCGTGTAAAAGAGCGTGACAGAAAACCTTGATGTGATAATCTTGGGTTTGTAATCCTCCTTCTAGGGTTCTCATCCCATGATCAAAGCCCTGGCACTCTAGAAAATGCCTCTATTTATTGAACACAGCTCGTTACACTGTCAGCGGATACCACAGTTTAAATACACAGCGACCTTCAGGCTTCAAGTAGGAGATATTTCTGCTTATACCTTCCGATGACTGATAGTGCATCTGCTAATCCGTTTGATCGGAGTCACTTCGCTAGCGAAGGATACGCCGGTATGCCGTGCGCAATTGCAGAACGATTGGTATCTTCTGCATCTATTTTTTTTGTATAAACTTTCTATATCCGTATTGCTACTGATTGAACCACCAGTTTCCTTTTTCAGTGTAGAGCAGTAGCACAACTTTTTTAATCCGCACATAGTCGCTCTACACGTTGTGATATGCGGTAGTTTCCATCTGACATCCGACCTACTTTAACGAACGAACAGATGCACGGCATTCGAAGGATATGTTTGTCTCCGCGTACGTTAGGTTGTATAAAACTATATCGAATAGCTTCTCGAATACTCGACTTGCTCAAGCTATAAACTATGAACATTTCACCAACAAAATTGGATTGGCCATGTGACAATGTATCCTCTACATGCCAGACAGTGATTTCTCATGCGTAAAAGAGACTATTTGTATATACCTTCGTACAATAGTCGCGTTAAATATTATCCTATATAGCTGAGTACGTACGCTCGTCCGATCAGACCGAATAGGTTTCTGAGAAACTGAACAGATTGACTTGCTGTTCGGCTTGATACTTGACCTTTTAGTATGAATCTGCTTGCAGTTTTCCACAAATACAGAGAACTCCGCTACTAGATATATGTTTGTTCTATATATAT